TTCCCTGTGCACTTGGGTATGGCCGAGGGCATGGGATGTGGGTGCTACCTGAATGGTGGAAGTGGTGCAGGAGAAAAGCAAGGAGGGGCAGAGATGGCCTGGCTGTACCCAGGTTGTGTGCCACTCACTTTGCAGTTGTCTAGTGCTTGTGGTCACTAGTTCTGTTGCACTAGTGGTATCAGAGTTATGTTAGTTTTAGAGCTTCTGCTCTAGCTTGTGGCTTAAAAGGCATTCAAGTGAAAGGATCCTTCATTTAATGAAATTATTACAATGTCTATTACATCAGTAATTTTGAAAGATTTAATTATCCTAGGAGCTACCCCTGGCACATTTAAAATTGTTGGTTTACCCCCATCTAAGTGAATGAAGAAATAATGTTCTGACAGGTATTTGGGCTGTTTGATCAGCTGGCATTGTGAATACGCTGTATTTATTTTTTAAAAGACCAAAGAAATACAAAAATTGTCCCAGAGTTGTTTTTATCGTCTGATAACTTTTCAGGAGTCTTCAGTTGTCCCTTTCTGTCAAAAGTGCCTCACACGTGTGATTGGCAGGGGAGCTTCATCTCTTCCTGTCCAACTGGCGACAATGATCTGTTACTTCTACACAGAATTGCTGTAACTTTCCATGCTTTGGGGTTGTGATATTAAGGTTTCATCAGGTTCTTCTTAGCCCCTTAATATCGGTAGCAGTGCTAAAACACTATCTGGCTGCTTTTTAGGCTAGTAAGTTGAGAGTAATCAGTTTTCAGCAGCTCTATATTTAAAGTAGGTTTCCTCGGAGTGCCTTCTGTTCACTAACCACAACTTCCCTCGAAAGTTACATGCCACAGGAAGGATGAAACTGCTAAGTCTAGCTTAATAGAGGGAGGAACACAGCTCTCCTTTTGCATGGTATAAGACAATGTATACTTTTCTGGAGGCGATAGGATAACCACAAATGTTGCTGCCTTCAGAACAGGTGCAAAACTTGTTTTTTTTGGTTTAGCCCTTTGCACAACATCTGTCACAACTGAGGAAAAGAGGAAGAGGAGAAACGCGTATTTTTGCAGTGAGGAAAAAGGAATGCAGATTTGTGGAAAGAAATATGTGCCATGTCTTGACCTTTCTTTATTGTAGGTGGATGTTAATAACAGCACTTTGATAAAGGCTTAAATAGAGGACAAGACTAGAAGATTTTAAAGTTATATAACTTGCTAGTTTTACTGCAAGGCCATTGAGTTTCATGTTGCTTTCTTGTCTAACTTCAAGCTTGGACCAACTTGCTAGTTGTAGAAGAACGTTGGTTGAAAGGAGCCACTGGAGATTGTGTTGCCTAACGCTGGCAGAGACAATTTAAAATGAAGGCTGTGTCCAATCAAGTTTTGAGTATCTCTAAGGATAGACATTTCCCAGGTTTTCTGTGCAACCTTTCCCAATGTCTGACTAGCTTCATGATGAAAAAATGCTTTCTAATGTTTAGTTGTTCCTTGCTGCAACAACCTAGGGTGTTGCCATCTCTTCTGTACCCCTCCCCGTTAGGCAGTTGAAGACAACGATAACATCTCCTCTCAGTCGTCCTTCTCCAGGCTGAGCCATCTCCCTTCCCTCAGCCCCTCCTCCTGTAGCATGTGCTGCAAGCCCCTTCAGCGTTTTTGCTAGCTATCTGCTGGACTTGTTCCAGTGTGTCAGTATCTTTCTTGTCCTGGGAAGCCCAAACCCAGTACAGAATTCCAGGTATGATCTCACAAGTACTGAATGGAGGGGAAAGATTGCTTCTCTGGATGTTCTTTTGAAAACAGTCCCATATGTGTTTGACCGTGAAGTCACACTGTTGACTCCTCTTTAACTTGTCCCAGACCTTTTTTGCCAGTCTGCTTTCTAACCAGGTCATACCCAGCCTGAACCAGGGTTATTCTGGCTCAAATGCAGGGTTTTGCATTTGACTTGCTGAACTTCATGATGTTCCTCTGAATCCATTTTTCCAGCCCACTGAGGTCCTGATCTTCCTTATTTAATGTGTCAGAGCAAGGTTATCCAAATTTGGCAGTCATGGGGCAAGATCCTAATTTAGAGAACCTGTATGCTACTGAGTGTGGTAGGAAAAGTAGATACATATAATGTTGATCTCCCTGTGTGTAGAGACACCCTGTTCTCTTCTGCCACCCAGCTCGAACACAGTTGGATTCCCATACTTTATTTACACTTGCCTTCTTTCCTTCCTTTCTAATTGGAATGAAGTGCTGAACAGCTTTTATCTGACTGTTCACAGGAGAAGAGACAAGATGACTCAAAGGAAGGGGATTTGATGCAGGTCTGTAAAATCATAAGTAATGTGGACAGGGTAGATAAGGAGTTACTGTGTTCACTCATTTCTGGTACAAGAAGCAGGAAACTTCAAATGAAACCAACAGGTGTCACAAGTGAATTTAAATGGCTCCTCCAGACACCATGGGTAGTTATTCTGTGCTGCAAAATGCTGCAGTAACAGACGTTCAAAAAGGGAGCAGACAGGCTGATGGAAGAAAAAATTGATTGACGACTGTCATGTGCAAAGATGAGACATCTGCCTCAGGAAGTCAGAAGTTAGACATTGCAGGAAGCAAAGGGAGTATTCTGAGGGGAAAAAAATTTGAGGAAATATGTCAGAGCTTTTACTACACAAACAGTCATTCCTGTTTTATTTTAGAAAAGGGTTGCAGCTTGGCAGAGTTTTTTGTATTTATTCTGTACTATACCCTTAGTCTGCAGGCTGCAGCTTAGGCAAGACTGTATTAGGAAATATTGCACTCTGATGAATTTGTTGTTTTTTGAGTGATTCTTGGTGTCTGTTGACCTTGTCTGTTTTGAGCCAGCACAGTGAGATACTGCTGAATACAAACCTTAATTTGTCTTCAGTTGCTCCTGTGCTCTGTAGCACAGACATGGAGGTAAAAGAGACAGAGTATGTTGCTGCTTTTTAGTTCCTTCAAAACTGATCATATAAGGCAAAGCTTTTCTTCTCTTCAGTTGTGCACTATTTATTTTTCTTATGTTACAGGCTGTTTCATCATTTTTGAGAAGTCTGTTCATTCCTTGCTTCCCTAAAAGCTTTTGAGTTTCAGAAATATATTAGTGTTAAATGGAACAACTATTTAAAAGAAACCAAAACGTTCCTCTTTTTTTTTTTTTTTCCCTAACTATTGAGCTTGCTGATTTAAGAGAAGTCATTAACGACCTCCAGGAATTGTGTTGTGGTAGCATGTTTACCACTTCAGACAGTTGCTCTTACTGTCTTTTGCTAGGAGATGACCATGTTGCTGACAGGTTCCTCGTCTACATAGTTTTCAGGGCCACAGGCAAAAGAAGCAGGCAACAATGCCTTTGGGTATACCTGTCCTTATCTGCCGAGTCTGTAAGTCACAGGAGATTGCATTCTTTGTCTCCACACTTTCAGTTAGTCTTCAATATCTTCAAGCCCAAGGCAGCTGAGGGTATTTGCAGTATTAGTCCCTAATTTTGTGTTCTCAGCAAAAGAAAAGGTGAAGGCACTAAATGCTCTTCTCCTGAAGATGTGTTTGGGGATTTTTCACATGATGCACCTTCTCTTGGTCATGTGTTTGACAACAGGTGTCTATCCAATTTTCTTTTAGGGACTTAGACCATTTTGCCATCATCATCATTTTTATTTCTATGTGCTCTGTCACATTCCCTACCAGATCAGATTTGATAGAGATGGCAGCAGCAGGCACATAGTGTCAGCAGTAGGACTCCGTGTAATTGGAGTCCCAAGTTCCACACTGCAAAGTGTAGAGAGAAAAGATAACTCTGTCATTTTGTCATGAACATGGGCTTAAAGATCCTGACTGGGCTTCACTCTCCAGAGACCCAGTTTCTCCAAAAAATTCAGTCAGATCCTCGCAATAAGCAAGCCATTTGAACCCACTGCTACTTGTTGCTGCTTAATTTCTATGTGAGAAGCATGAGTGAGCCTTGGGGAGGAAGGGGGCACGTCTTGGAATGTATCAGAAGCTTTTCCCAAAGCAAAAGCTCATTTTCTCTTGCAAAGCTCATACTGCTTCAGCCACATGTTGCAAGGCACGGCGTGCTCATGTCTTTTAAGACAACACATCTCTCTGGTGATGTCTGCCAGCCCCACAGCACAGCTGGAAGAAGAAACAGGACACGTGTTCTCTAAATGTTTGACTTCAGCGCAGGGTCCCAGGCCCACTGAAAACCCCCACTGCTGCTTTTGGCAGATTCAGACAAGCACACGGAAAAGAGTCTCCTCATAATACGAGTGTGCATGAGCTGTTAGTGTGTGCTGAGGAGTAGTGAGGGGAAACAGAGTCATTAGCAGAGGCATCAGCTGCCACAGTTGTCTGTCTGTCTGTGCCTTTAGGACTTCTGTCAGGAAACTGAGTTTATCTTATCTTTAAAAGGTTTTTATTTTATTGGTTTCTTCTACATTTGAGAAATATTAAAATAAGGAGAAAAAAATAACTTTTCCCAAACCCGTATCTTATCAAACCCATAAACCTTGGATCCAGGCTCCGAAGTTTATTAGGGCAAAAGCAGTATTTTGATGTTAAGTTTTCTGTTTGAGAATGTTGCTGTGATTTAGAAACCAAGTCTAAAATTGAAAATAACAGAATTGCTTGTATGAGAAAATGGAGATTAAGATTTTAAATAGAGATCTTTACTTTGTTTCCACTTAGAGTGTAGTTATCTGCAGTATGTGGTGTTTTAATACGTATTTAAGTTGCATTTTAGGGGCAAATATAAAAAAGACTTCTTGTCTTTAAGGCTTTATAATCACGGTTAGATGAAATGCATACTAATAAACAAAAAACCCAGACATTAGTAGAATAAAAATGAGCTTATACTAGTGTAATGTTAATAATACGTATATTTATTTCAACAGCTTCTAGGTATTCCTGACTGGTCTGTCTATGGTTTTATTAGATTATAATTTGCTTGCTTCAGTAGGAACAAATTCTTAAATAATATTTTAAAATAGTTTATTTAAAAAGCTGACATGAACAGAAGTGTTTATAGCACATAGAATTAAGGGGAACTGTTAAAAATTATTTTTCTTACCTAATTTTTTGAAACTGCATAGTGTCTCTTGTAATTGGAAGCTCCGTTTTGGCAGTCTAAGTGGTACGAAATATTGGGGGGGTTATGTTTTCTTTGCCATAAGAAAGTAATTGTTAATTAAATGTTTCCATACAGTTCAGATATGACCCTTCCATGTTTGCAAGTAGAGGGAGGTCAACACATGAGGAAGGAAGGAATTGCAAAGATGACAAATGTAACTATGTTTGTTTCACTCACCCTCAATGCCAGACAGATACAGCTGCAATAAATAACGTCTATTCTGACACGTGGCATAGCTTTTATTTATAATTGTCAAGCAGTCTTTAATTTTCCTTTTCCACCACAGCCTTCTGGTGCAGTCACCAAGTTCTGTTGGCAGATGAAGGCATATCAATAAGATAGAACACTAAAGTAAAGTTAGAGAGGCCAGAAATAAAGTAGGGAAGGAAACTGACATGTGACGGAAGGGGACGACAGCAGGAACCCGGGGCTTGCATCCTGGATTCTGAACTGGTATTGAGCTGATTCCAGCAGGATGTGTTTAAGGCATTTGGTCTCTTTCCTGGCACAATTTCAGTGTGCCCAAATGGATCCCAGATACACTCTATGAAGGTGTGATGGGAAAAGTTGTTCTTTCCCAGCACATCCTGCGCTTCTCGTTTGTTGATCTCTCAGATAAACAGCACTTACAGAGAGGTAGCCATCTCACACCGTCAGAATTAACCCATAGTTTACTTTTTGCTGACCCCAATGGTGACCATTTATTCAGGTCTCTAAAACATTTGTGTTGTGTCCATGTCTGACTTGAGCAGAAGTTCTGAAGAACTCTGTATCACTGTTCTTTTAACTGAAATGGTACATTTTCATATTACAGTCTCTTGCTTCAATTTGTGTTTATAAATAATTTATATACAATGGAGTAGAGACTCTTTACAAGACACACTAGAAAGAAAAGTTCTCCTTTAGGAAAAGGAGCAAAGACATAATACACCTTGTGAAGATGAGTGATTTAACATACAGGATATGTTCAGTGTTGGGGAGAACCAAGCAGTTCATTAGTTTTTCATGTGTTATATTTGACAATATACATAAATTGTCCAATAACACATCCGTGTTCTAAATACTATAAAATTCAGCTTCACCTCCAAAAGGCTATAAACTTAAGCATTTGTGATATCAAACGTGCACAGAAGTTGTCCATTTCATCTGAAAATGTCATTTCCCTTGCTTGTATGTTTGGGTTAATGAAACCATTGCTATAATTGGAGCTCAGCTAGAGGTCTTGAAATTTTCAGATGTTCTTGTTGTAGTTGGTCTGAATTATAAGCTGTTTATGTTTAATCCAAATTGGGAATCAAGTCTTTGCTTAACATCCAGGCATATGTATGTGCAGCATGGAATTTGAACATTCACAATGGTGCGTATTTCCGGAAAAAAAATTAAAAAATCACTCAAAAGGATACAACAAGGAGATTATAATGTCTGAGTTTCCCTGCTGTTCTGTGACAAATCTTTCTCAGTCCAACATCACTCCTTTATTTCCTGACATCCTGAGAAACAGAATTTTACTTAAGCTTCTGTGTGGGGAACGCCAAGAGTTTTGTTGTGGACCCCGGATTTTTAGTCTTTCCCTGCTGTGATGTACTGCAGACTTTATTTTTCAGGTAGCTTTCCATTGGAAGATTTAGCAAGTACCGTCATTTGCGTTTCTCCCACATCACGTGAGCTTTCTTCGTGATGTGACCTGGCAGCGCTTGAAATTGATACACTCACTTGTCGTCTCAGTATTTTCAGTACAGTTCTCTTGTATCCTTTGCATGCGAAGAAATAGATGAAAGGATCTAGGCAGCAGTTAAAGTTCATCAGAAATACGGTATAATGAAGGGACTTCTGGAAAATCTTTGTTTCGGAGCACGAGGGTTTGTTCTGAAGTTTCTTAATCATGTGTTGTATGATTGCAACATGATAAGGGGTAAAGCAGATGATGAAGACTATAATTACAAATATGATTGTATTGATGGCTTTTTTGTTTATCCCTGATTTTTCAGTCAGTGGATTTTCCTTGGCCGTTTGAAAAAGTTTGCAGCTAATTTGAGAGTAACAAAATAGTATAATCCCCAGGGGAACAAGGTACCCTATTAAACAGGCAGCAAGAAGTATAAATGGTAGATGTTCTATTTTTTCAAAGTTTGGATATTCCATACACGTAGTCCTTTCTTTTTCTTCCTGTGACATGGATTGTATAAGTAATGGGAAAGTTTGACTAAACACAAGAAACCAGATAAAGACACAAATGCCCTTGGCATATTTAATCCTTCTGATCTTGTATCGGAAGGGATGGACAACAGCAAAAAACCTGTCAATGCTCAAACATGTCATGAAGTTTACACCTGCATAGGTGTTGATGTAGAACAGGAGAGCCGTTATTCGACATAATGCTTCTCCAAATGGCCAGTGGAATCCCAGGGCGTAGTAGGCTATCCTTGTTGGCAAGGCGATGCAGAACAGGAGATCGGAGAAGACGAGGTTGGTTGAATACAGAGTAGTGGAGTTGATCTTCTTTCTGTTTTTGAAAATGACGGTGAGGGCAATGGTGTTTCCAAGCACCCCAAGAATTAAGATGCAGCTGTAGAAGACAGACAGCAGTATCCGTGCTGTATCTTTGTGCTCATATAAGTCACAGGTGGAACTGTTGCTCTCAGAGGCTGTGAAAGTGTCCATTTCTGTAACCCCTGTTGTTGCAGGAAACTCAGTAGACCTAACATGAAAAAAAAACCAAAACAAAACAACAAAAGGGAACATTTTGTAATAAATGTAGATAAACTTCTTCTGCATAACAGTGCCCAACCCCTGTTGCAAAAAACAAGGCTGAAAAACTGAAATGAAACTCCATTGCTGTGAAATACTTTTCAAGCCTCCTTCTGAAAACAAACAAAAAGATGTCTGTTTTTGGCTATTCTGTTTTGATCCCAATACCTTCTCTGATGAGAAAAAAATCAGGGCAATGTAATCAACCAGAGATGTAGGGTATTTGGAAAGTGAAATTTTTAGGTGGTCAGGAGGTGGTAGACCATTTAAAACAATCTGAGGGGAAAAAGGAGTCTGAAGAAACTACATGATAAAGGATCATATGAAGTCCCCAAGGGTCAGACAAACAGGCAAAATCTTTTAAATGTGTTTCAGTTAATTTTTAGGGAGTTTTTGTTTCCAACAACTCACATTGTGATGGTTTAACTTCTTTAGAGAAACTCGTTCTTTAAGCATTCTTATCGTACTGGAGTTATAATAGAATCATAGAATTGCTTAGGTAAGGAAAAGACTTTTAAGATTATATATTTCAACCATAATAATTCAGCTGGTTTAATACTAGTTTTAAGAATTGACTTTTGGAATCTAATTTAAATATTGTTACATATGTAAATTCTTGAGACTACTACTTTAATTGTTCTTTAGTGATGCTGTAAAAGAGAGATAACCCAGCTGAAGTATTTTACACATTGACAATTGAGTAGATTTTAGAAATTGTTTCATCTCTACAGTCAGAAGTAACATGGGAGAGCTGCAAAGTGGCAGTGATTTGTGGGACTTAAAAATACTAAAAAATAATCCAACAGAATTTCAGAAATGGAAAGAACCCCATCCTGTTGATACTGATTTCAGTGCAGACATTTCTGTTACCTAGCAGTTGTATAGTGTAAGCATAAATGTCAGAAAGGATGGGACATCTAATGTTCCTCTTCAAGCAGCTGTTCTACAAAAGTGTGCCTCTTAGAGGCACTATTTATGGATTAAATAAACAGTGAAAATGAAAACAAGATTGCTTCTGCTTTAACACAGAATACTATCTGGAGATGACAGCTATTGCAACTGGAATTTTAAAGTTGTCTGGTACCTTTAATTAAAATCTAGGTGATTTCTGAGGATCTGTCTTTCAACAGACAATATCTGCAAACTACTGTAGCCTGTTGCACCTTAAAAAAGTCTTGCTGGAAAATACTTCTCAGTTTTCAGGGGGTTTAAGCTACGCATTTTAGAAAGTATTCCTTATCCTTTTATTGACTTATGAAAACATTAAAAGACTAGTATTTTCTTTCATGTTTTGAGGAGATGGTCCTACTTATTTCAGGTTGTTCACAAGTTAATGTACCTGCATCACATACTGTATTATAAGCTTGTCTGATCAGACTTGTGGCAGGGTTAGCAGGGGTGCATAAGGTTCTCTGTAAACAGTAAACTTGTGGATAGTGGATGATGTGTATTAAAATATGTCAATGAGTTACAGTACCCACCTAAGGAAGAAGCTTAACATCCAGGTAGTATATTAAGTCTGTGTCTACTGTGTTCCACAGACAGGACGGAAGACAGGTGGGTGATTACTGACTGATAGATGTACAGTGTTCTGATTATTAGATATACCTGAAGTATGAAGTATGCACTGTCTGTCGAGAGGTGGGAATTCAGGGTTGGAATTCAAATCTGAAGTGGGAGTTTTGTGGTTTGCATAAGGGAATTAAACTGGTAAATAGCAACTCCAACTGTAGTGCAGATTTAAGAATGTCTGTAATTTTATGTTGGTTAATTCTGCATTGCTCACTGTACCTTGGTGTTTGATGATTGATTAATGCAGTAGTTAGTACCCTCAGGATAGTTCTGATATGCTTTCCTCTTGTTTTGTCTTTTCCTTTGTAGAAGTGTGTCTCAAATGACTCTTGCTTTGCCGAAGTGTATAACAGGCTGCTTTGGGCCTAAATTGGTGTGGGTTTGTGTAGGCACCTGGGTGGATCAGTGGGGTATTTTGTTTTGTTTGTCATATTTAAATGCCTCTGATTATTTGTTCACACTCACAGCATCACATCTATCTTCTACTCACCTCTTCCTTGAAATTTAGATAAAACAATTTCTTCAACATATGTAAGGAAGAATAATCTAAGATTTATGATAAACAGTTTGATTGCAGTAATTAACTGAAGCATGTGAACTGCATAATTTTATTTTCACTGTAAAGTTGTAATAGTTTTGGTTCATAAATAGTGTGCATAATTTTCACATCCATCCTTATGTCTTTCTATAAACATATGTAAAATTATAGAATATCTATTATACAAAACCATTTAACTGCAGTTTAGGAAAAAATCTGTAATTTCAGTAATTTTTTTTTTTTTTTTTTTTGCATCAGGAGTAGGATTTCATAAAATCATATGACCTAACTGACCTAATTTTGTGCTATGAAGTTAGATCTTTAATTTAATACATTAGTCTAGAACTTGTTGCTCAGAGTAGGATGTTCATCCTCACGTATAACCGTGGCTGTATTGAGAAGGAGTCCTTGCTGAGAGAGTGTTTGTGTCCAACCAAGGCACTAGCATGGATATACATGAGGAGCAGTTTCATGACAGGATGAGCTGGCCACAAACAGATGAGAAGAAAGCTGGAGGACCAAAGCAGCATGCACGTCAGCTAAGCTGTGCTCCTTGACAGGCCCTTCTGCCTGCTGTGGGAGTCAGCCCTGAGTGCAGAAAGTGTTCTTTTTGATCCCCTGTTATCCCCTAAATGTTTTGACTTTTAATGTAGGGAGCACATTTTGAAGTGCTCTAGTTGAGTATTAGTATTTTCTCTACCTGTAGGTATGTATGGGCATTTTTGAGCAGTCACCAGGGTGTCTAGGTGCTGAATTATTACCTGAATGTGTCTTAAAAAAAAAAAAAAAAAAAAAAAAAGGAGATATAGTGTATCTGTTTTGTGGTGTAAAGTTGCTACCATCTAGCACCTTAATGTACATCACCTGAGCAGTGGTAACTTCTTTGTACTTCTGAACTCTTATTGTTGTTGGATAGACTCCATTCACGTCAGCAGGTATTTCACCTTTTCTTGTCAGCCTTGATCAAGGCTTCATTTAAAAAAATACTTTCTTCCTAAAAGGTGTCTAGACTATTAAGTAAGATATTTTTCTAAAAATCCAGTTCCTTGTGTCAAGTTGCTCTTTATTTCTTGGTAGCATTCCTAAGTGATCAGCTTATTATACATACAACATATGACATCCTCCACAGAATGTAACTAGAAAAAGAACATTTTGAATACTGTTTGTGCATTTTGCATTCTTGGAATAAAAATGGAGACTGTTACCTCCTTACTGCTGCAAACCTCAGACTAGCTGGACTTAATTCTTACTGATTTTAATGAACTGTGTGTCTGAATGCCTTATGAGACCATGACCATTTACTGTCCCAGATCCAAATGGACCATTGAAGCTACCATCTAGAATCATTACCAAAATTTTTGGTCTTCTAGGTTGTTGGATTAAATACCCCTCCAGTGGCTTTTAGGGTTTAATAATGATACTACTTTGAGGTATATACTTGGAAAAAACCTTAATATTAATTTACCTTACCAAATTAATAATTTTAAAAAACAGTAGCACTGGGGTTTTTGGCTTAGAGTTGCATGCAAAATTTTAAGGTATAAAGTACTTAAAATTCCTGTCTTTATATAGTATTGTAAAGGAGGTTGTTCAGGTTTTTACATTTTCTGAGTCTGTAGACACTCAGTGACACAGACAACTTACTTCCTTAATATGATTTTCTGTATAATCTAGGTTATGTTATTATTTTAGTTATTTGTGTATGGATTACAGTAACTTTGCATTTAAAGCACATTTTCTAAAATACTGTTTGATCTTGACTTGGAGAACTTAAAAGAAAGTGAATTAACCATTTGTTACTCTAGGCCTTTGTCAGTCAACCTACCTGTTAAAAAATGTATGTGTCTCTTCCTTAAATTTCTCTAAAATTAATTTGCAGTTGCTGTTTTTGTTGAGTCTTTTTACCTTTATACAATCTCATGATTTGGGCAATTCAAAGTGAACTTCTCAAATATTTCACCATGAGGCAAAATAGTCCTGTGATGTCCATTCTAACCCCAGCTTTGTCCCACACAGACCAAGGGGTTCCAGATGCATCTTGGTATTGGTGTACCTGGAAGCATCTTCACCGGTATGTCCCTGCTTTTTCAGCTCAGTTATTTGTGTATCCAAGACAGAGTTGTGTAGCATTGCACTGGGAGCTTGTGAAGTTAGTTTTCTGTGATCCAGGAGTATTTCTCTCACCGTGTCCTAGGATATCTCTAGTCTAAGGGCATGGTCATTGCTCTCTGCTTCTACCCAGGAAGACCTTATGCCTGGGAGAGTTTAAAATTAATTTTAATACTATGCCCAAGCTTGCAAACAGTGCAGATTGTTCTTCATTCTTGTTTCATTTGCCATTTTCAAGTCTTAGTATTGTGTTTGCTTTCTGACCACCAAATTTCTTTAGCCAATGAGATTTGTTAGCTAGGCTAGCTGCTAGTCTATTCTGTGTGCTTTCTTAATGTTTCTCAGCAATAGTATCCACCTGGGGAAAAAATTCACGATACCATGGCAAGCTACTGGCCAAATCTAGCACGTCTGAAATCTGTGCAGGTGCCTTTCTAAAGCACTTTTGTAATCTCATCAAAGACGGAAAAAAGGCTGGTTTAGGAGATTGGTGTTCTGTGAAAATGTTAGACTGGCATTAGTCATTTGTTTAATGTTTATACGTGTGTTTTACCTTTAATCCCCACAGCAAAAGGTGTTTGATAAACAGAATGGTGGTTCCAGTCTGGAAGTACTACGTAACCTAAGGCCCTGGATCACAGACATGTTCATGTTTGATGAGCTTTATATGTAGTATCATAATGTTACATACATTTAACTGTTAAGAAGGATGGACTTAAGCTATGAGCCAGCAATTGCAGTGTTACAACCTTAAATTACATGGGTTTGGATTGTGTTCAAGCAGTGGTACAAAGCTCTCTCTGTGTGCTAAAAGAAAGATGTTCTTATCTCTTGCTTTTGCTGGAGGAGCACTGTCTGTCTTTTCAGCAGAACAGGGAACATGTAGAAGGCTTTTACTGTGCATTGTAGTCTAATGTGTGATTTCTCTGTCTCTTTTCATAACTTTCATTCATTGGAGATGAATCCCTGGTCCATCTGTCCAGTAGCTAATTTAAGAGGGATACTAATTAAATTCTTGGAAAGGCACGGCAGTTCATTAGGAAGATCTCTCATGGCTGTGTACATAGTATGGTTTAGTTACTATGAGATGGACAGTATTTCTTTAACAAACAGTATTGGGGGATAATGTTGTTTATCTATGCATAAAGAATATAAATTATTTAAAAGGAATTATCAGGAAAGAGATTTCTCTTCCCCTGCAATGCCTGGTCTGCAGATTTACTGAGCTTACTGTCCTCTATAGCTATTAGCTGTATCAGTCTTACAGAGTTTTAAAACAGTAGAAGGTGGGAAATATGCAGTCTTGTGGTTATGTAGGTTTGATTTTTTCCTTAATGTCAAAATTATTTGTTTTCTGTTAACCAGTCATATTTACTGTTTGGATTTCTAATTTACCATATGAGTGATCTTTTATTGTAGAGCGTTTTCTGTGTTTGAGAAAAAGGCTTGATTCAACTAAGTTAAAAGGTGTGCATGCTAAGTTGCATAGTAGAATACTTTCTTAATATAGAAAGAACATATACCTAAGGTACATACATCAGGGTGTTTGGACTGGCAGCTTGGGAACTGCATGTGGTTTAATAAAAGCCTAGGCAAGAGACAGGCTTCCTGTTTCATTCTAACACTTTAACATTCGTATGCTTCTAGCGCATTGTGTTAATTTACCTTTTTTCAAAAGCTGTTGAGTTTTCAAAAGCTCTAAATGCCAATGAGTAGGCCTGATGACCTGAAGACTGAGTCCTCAACTCTCAACCCAAAGATGATTTTGGTGAGAGAGTTTCCAGGCTAGTACTTTTATTCTTCTTTGGTTAGACCCAAATCTGTTGGCATAGTAAAGCCAAATTTGTAAGCCATGTATCAGAAAATCCCAATTATCTTAACAGTGGCAGTAAAGAATAATAATATTCTTTAAGTACTTAATAAAATATGGAGATGCACAACACTGTGGGATCTTTCTGGTCCTGCTTTTGCTTATTACAGTAGATTTTGCAAAGTTGTATGACAGTTACATTTGGTGCTCAAAAATAATAGAAGCTACAGTAAGTGAGATGGAAATAAAGAAGTTGAGTTGAAATGCTGCATAACTGGTTAAAGTGGAAGTCATTTGAAGTGCACATCTTGCCCCTATCTGTTGGATCTCTCTTAGGTGTAATCTGTCCTGTGAGAAGTGTGAGGAGTATCTCACATGAATAGTCTCTGCCACATGTTAGTGTGAAGAGCTGTGCTGATGCTAAAATGATTAACTTCCCTTCAGTGTATACTTACTTAAGACACACTAAATGTAAAAAGGAGAGAGCCTAAAAATACAGCAAATAAACTAAAGTGTGAGCCGCTGACAATTACATTCTTACAAGCAGAAGAAAAAAGGAGTCAAATGAGAATTTGTATTTTAGTACTAAAAACATGAACACCTTTTATATCTGAGTGTTATGAAGCTTGTATAGGGACAGTCTTTAATTCTACGGATTACAGCTTCTGAACTGTAACTTAATTATTCTTTACATGTATACATGCTCCTCTATCTTTTGAGCAGAAAAGGGTGAGATTTGAGCTCTTAGAGAATAATAGAGAGGATTCAATTCCCTTGTCTCTTCAGGAGCAGTCATGAAAATGTTAGGCAGATGTCATGTATTCTATGTCCAAATCCATGTACACTGTCTTATTTTTTAAGATAAATTATAGTTGAGTTATTGTTTGTTGAACAATGTGTCTTGTTTTGCCAGCATAATAGAAAAAAATGATCCTTTTTAATTGGGAAGGTGAATAAAAATCTTATCACTTGTAATATTTCTTTAGCTTTGTGGCACGAAAATCACTAATAAGGAGAGGGATGTTTGGTGATTGCAATTCAGGAAAAGAATGACTTTTAAAAACTTGGAAAAAAGTGTATGCCAGAAGTTAAAAGAGGAATTAACTCATAAAACTTTGAATTCTTAAAATATGTTGCAATACTTACACATGAGAAGAGTGACTGAGGAGTTTTCTGAGCTGGTAATAAAGGCTGTTTTCATAGACAAGGAGTGCATGTGATAAGAGCAGGCTATGCATTCAGGACTGTAGTACTGATTTGTTTTAAGGCTCTCTCTTACTATTAGGAGAGTTCTGTGAGGTTCAGTGAATGACTTAGAGTTGCAATGCTTTCCTTACTACTTGTACAGTAGTTATTTCTGCATTAGTATAATATAAATCAGTGTTGACCAAAAAATTGTATAAGTTAATGCAGTATCAAATGTTTCCCTGTGGTTGTCAGAAGGCTGTATTCTAAGAAAGGACTTGAAATAACTTGTTGATGTTGTGGATCAATAGATCCTTTAAATGGAAATTAATTGGCAGCAGATTAATATGGTAACATAAAATATCAGAGAATTTCTACCATGAGCCTTTCCATACAAAGATCATTTATCCCTCCTACCAGTATAATGCAAAAACCCAATAATATTTCTGGAATTGTTTGCTCCTGCTCATTGAAAAGAAAAAAAATTGAAAACAAGTTAATTCTTTTCTGTACTTACATCTCTGTAGCTTGTTGGATCTTCTGAGGAGTTAAGGGCATTAACAGGATGGCTTGACTGTGAAAGTTTACCCTTGCACATTGTTCTCAAGAGTGATTACGTGAGTCTCTCTTGTGGGAGGGGTAGTTTTTTTTCAAGTGCTTAAAAAAAACCCCTGTTTGTGTGCTGGTCTTGATTTGCTGCTGACTTTTTTATGGGATGTGAAAGCATCTATTTTTGATCCTTTTACAATTAGTCTGTTCAAAGAGAGTAATTAGAAAAAACACTTCCGCCTCCCCCTGAAGTTACGCGTTACTGGCTTTCATAGAAGGGACTTTACCCAGAGGTTTACTTGAGTTGATTGTTTAATTGCTGACCAACTAAAATACCTGTGATGTGTGAAAAACTTTGTTTATATGCATCTGCATTTAAAAATAAAATAATTTAAACTTAGTTTGATCAGTACATTCTTTAAGACTGCTTCTTGCCGATCAGATATGATGCAGCACAAGGAAACCTCAGAACTGAGACATACCGAGATGGTGCGTTAAAGCAGACATCTCGAACGCACATGTACATTCCCAGCACTGTTGTGGTATCATAATGATGAGGATTTACAGAAATGCCTTACGAAGTGCCTTTGTAAGCTGTTTATTGCATTTTAAGCAGGAATAAATAATAATAATAATAATGATACACATAAGATAAATGCATTAAAAATAAAAAACTTTTTAAACACAAATCTGATTCCCCTAAAATAATATTGATAAGAAAGAGTGGCTAGGGAGTAGGAAAGGAATGGGATGTCAAATTGTGAGGTAACCCATTGTTACCTGAAATAACCTTGTTTCTGGGTGAAGAACATGGATCTAAGAGTCAAATTGTGTGTTTGTTAAAAAGGTTTTGAAGATCAGAGATAGATGGAAAATCCTGTCCTTTGCTGTTAGAGACAGTGGTTGAGAGTTACCTGGGATTTTCCCCAAAAACTGATACTGATCGTTCATGACTACGAAGGACTATTTATCTTTAAAATGACCTCATTTAGTGGCCTGATTTTTAAAGAACCAGCAAGTAGGCATGATGAGGCTATTTTTGGTGGGTCCAACCCATGCAGAGGGAGTGGGATGCATCTTTGGAAATGTTAGGGCTGTGTTCACAGTACAAGCCTTGGCTGACATTGTAGTGGTGGAGGTGTGCAAAGATATGATCTCAATTAACACGTTCATCTCATCAGAAAGCCTACAGTAAATGCAGATCTAAGGATAAAATTAAACTTTACTAAATGCACTTTGTCTTATGGGAAATGTTTTTTTTTTTTTTATAGCAGAACATAGAGCCTTGAGAGCTACTTTTGTGCCTACTTAGAGCATTTGGTTGGCACTACATGCTGGTTTTTCTGGTGTTGAACTCCCAGTGCACATGGCTTCATTCCCCTTAGATACCAGGGAGCTGAAAGGCTCAGTGTAGGGCTTTCAGCTCCTCAGTCTTTATAGAACATTCATCTTCTAACACCAGATTCAAAAAGTCTGTGGGAGAATTTGCCAGTTCTTGTTATGGATTTTTTCCTTTCTTGTTTTTGAATAATTTTTTGATTATTCAGTTTCGTCACATAGTAGGATCTCTTAAATGAAGTAATGAACATTAAGGGCTGTTTAAAGGGAAATTGCACAGAGAACTTGCTTCATATGTACGCAAAATAATACCACAATGTGGTTCCCTGTCCAGCACCAAAAATATGCTACAGAAATGGGAAATTTCAAGATACACAGTCATGTAGTAGTCTTTGCTTGAGGGCTGACATTAGTACCACAGCTTCTTATTAAATGAAATGTTTATTTCAAAATAGTGTTACCATTATAAAATAGTACCAATGTTTCCTGTTCTGATCTGATAAAATATCATCTTCCTTTGATTAAGATACAGTAGTAGATTGTACCCTATGAGTCATACTGGTGTATTAGCTACCAATCCAGCCTAGCATGTTGTGATGTTAATTGCTTGAGCTAAATGGTACAGGTTGCTTTCTTTCACTCACTGTTTATCCTTCTAGCTGTTTGTTTTCTGTTCTAATGCAGCTGCTGTTTCTCCAATATCTGTTTGACTGTCCCAGGATTTGAACATTTAAATGAGGCTGTGTGGTGTCTTAGAAAGTGTGATGTATATTTGATTTTACCATATATGTGCAAACATGTACTGTTTTGCTTTTGTCATGCAAGGCGAGTAACATGGAACTGAGCAGTTTATCGAATATATTGTTGGATGGTCTTGGCATTAAAAACTAAAGCTTTTTTTAGGATAGATGTCTGACTTCTTTCTTGAGAGGATTGTAAAGTGTTGGTTACTTGCTTGCTTACTTGGTCTCATATTTTAATGAACTCAAAGTTGCAGTGATTCTGCAGAGATATTCGTGGACAGGAGGATTTTTTTCCACTCCAGATGCACAACTTCAAGTTTTTGATTTTTTTTTCTCTGCTTTCTTCTTGCTTTCCTGTGAAATATCAACAGTTAGATGAGTATAGGGTAACACAGCCTAAGGCTTTGCAGGTATTGAGAGGCATCAGGCAATGGGATGTCCTTCTCATGTGTAGTGAAAGGGTTGGGTGCAATAGGTGGTTCCTTTGAGTCCTGGGCTCCAGCAGGCAGAGGAACCCAACTATCAAGGGTGGTCCACAGAGTTACTTAATTTTAAAGAATGTTATTGAGAATATTTAACACATTCAGAATAAAGGCTGGCACCTTAAGTGTAATATGGCAGTGTCTGGACAGCCTGTAGGAAGACAGATCACTGAAGTAATTTAGTAACTTGAATTGCAAGTGCACTGTTTACCTGTCTGTATTATCTGCAGCTGTTTTTATAAATGGTATTTTTAGTCCCCCCCAAAAAAATATGGTCACGAATTTGTCAGTTTAATGGTTTTTTTGAAGAACTTGAATGAAGAAAAACACAGCACCACAGTTAGTAATTGTAGTGAGTCACTCAGAATAAAATAGCACGTTATTTCTGCAAATTTAATCCCACAGAACTTCCACTGACAACAGCAAGTACTTTTTGCAGAAGTAGCATTTACCTTTCTGACCCCCGTTCTTGCATTTTAGAACTGTTTTTTTCTCTACTTTGTGCATATATTTACGAATGTTAAATACTCTTCTTTAGTCTGCATCTACTAGTCATCCTTCTAGACTTTAAATAATGTGTTTCCTACGATTTTTTTCTTCTCTACAAGTAATTTTTACTTCTCTGATTTTTTTTTTTCAAGGATACTGTTTCCACATGTCGTGGGTTTTTTTCTGTGCAAAACCAATCTGATCACTTCATATGATGTAGAATCTTCCCATCTGGTCTGCTGTGTTTGTGTTTCACTGCAAATATTGACATTTACCATGGTCTTCAAAAGGAGGATACAATTGTTGTAGAGCCTGCTACTACAGTGCATCTTTATGATGGACATGGTATCCATATAGAGTGTTCAAACTCTAGAAATAAATCTTTTAGATTTTAGAGTTTTCCATTTTGTTAAAAAATTTTATTTTCTAACCCACATGACTGAAATTAACTTCCTAAACATGAAGTGGGTATAAACTCAGTTTAGAGTCAGCATGTATTTGTGTCTGTGACCCTTCTTTGCACACAGACATTTCAGATTTCTAGTAGAAGTTCATCATGGCACTGGAATGGGTGTTCCTGATATTCTCATAGTATAAGAGCAAAGGACTGGGATGAAGGTCTCTGCAAAAGTAGAGGAGAGAGGATTGAAAGAGATTAGGGGAAAAGGAAAGATGAAAAGAGAGAAGTGAAGAAAAATAGAGAATTGAAGTAGTCCTTTAGGGTATTCCACTTGTAGATGTTGAATCTGATAGATGCTACCAAATAACTAATCAACATAACTCAAGGAGTTAAGAACCAGTCCTTTTATTTACACTACAGCGATGGATGTTTGTACCTGTCTAGTGAAATACTGAAACAGAAATTCCTCCAGTGATTATGAGCTTCAGGAAAAAGGCTTGATTGTTCACAGAATAATAGAGTAACTTAGGTTTGACAGGACCTCTGGCACTCATCTAGTTCAGCTCTGGTTTCAAAGCATGTCCAACAAGAACAGGTTGTTTTGGGCTGTATGTTCAGGCTGTGTCTCTGAGGATGGAGATTCTAGCTCCAGGCAGCCTCTTATACAGTAGTGGACTGTCATTACCCCCATCTGGACTTGCTCCAGTATATTAATACCTTCCTTGAAACATGGAGCCCAAAAGTGGACACAGGGATTCAGGTTCAGGCTCAGAAGTGCTGTGCAATCCCTTCTCTTGGCCTGATGATAACACACTGTGCTGCCCTGTATGTGGTTGTCCCTTCCTGCAAGGGTAAACTGCTGATTAATATTCAAAAGATTCTCCAGCTCATTGTCTACAAATCTGTTTTCTAATCAGTCTATACTGTTTCACAAGGTCGTTTCAGCCCAAGTGGAAGACTCTGCAGTTACTTTTGTTAAACCTCATAAGATTCTTGTCATCCCATTTCTCCAGCTCACCAAGAAATATCTGAATGCAGTCCTGCTTACCAAAGTATTCACTACTCCCTCCAATTTGATGACATTCACTAGCTTGCTGGGAGTGCACTCTGTTGCATCATCCATGTTGTTTAATAGAGACTATGAATTGTGTTCATCCCAGTACGGATCCCCGATGGAAGCTCCTAGTAACTGGCTGCCACTTGAAGTTTGCATTGCTGGTCAGAACTCTTTGAGTCCAGCACTGCAGCCAGATTCCCTCGAATTTGCTTATACAGTGCGTATCTCCCCAGTTTTATTTCAAGGGCACAAGAGGAGGCCAAGTCAAAGGCCACTCTAAGGTCAGGGTGTACAACATTTGCCATCTTTGCCTTCCTTATCCACAGCACCAGAGTCACTTTTGTTAAATCCATATGGGATACTAGCAGCCTCCTCATTCATCATGTGGCTGGCAACAGCTTCTAGGAGATTTGCTCTGTAACTTTCCCAGGGATAGAGGTGAGGCTTGTAGCTACCTGAATCCTCTTCTTGCTGTCCTTGAAGACGGGTGTGGCATTTCCTTTTTTCCTGCCATCAGGAACCTTCCCTGATCACCATGACATTTCAGTGACGTAGCATTGGCCACC